GACCTATCTGTTTACACACACAGAACACACACACACATATATATATATATATGTGTACATACACATATTTACTTACGTATCTTTATTTCTGTCCATGTGTTCATTTAAGCATAGGTTATGCGTATACACACATACCTAGACATGTCTGTTAATTGGCACAGAGTCGCTTTAAGGTTTCGGAGTCTTAAAAGAGATGGGCCATGAGTCGCCTACATACGGCACCAGGCGGCAAGCGTGTAGTTACGGGAAGCACGTGGACGGTGGTTCTGGTGACTACATGCAGGCACCTTTCAGCTGCACCCTCAACGGAAGCCTAAAGACTCCGCCCGCATCCGCCCTGCTTCTGTCGTGGCTCACGTACTCGGCCTAATGTGGTGGTTGTGAAATTATTGTTAGGAACCGCTCGAAAATGCTACCGCAGGAACCAATGAACTAGCAAAGCCTACGCTTTCTGAGCCCCTCGCCCCTACCTAAACTAAGAGCCCGAAAGCCTCTATGCTCGGCATAAGATGCCGAATATAATCTAGGGCTTTAGAAATCAGAATAGCCTTTGGGACTTGTTCAGTCTTCTATATGAAAGTCTGCTGTGTCTTCTACATGAAAGTCTTCTGCAAAGTCTTCTGCAAGTGCGCAGGACGGCACCACGGTGCGAATCTCCATGAGCGACTCCTCCTTGCAGGAGCAGATTCCGCCTCCGTGCGGGTGCCTGTACCTTCGGCTGAGATACGACTTCCGTCGAATTTAGGGTTTAATATTGGCTTTCTTGTTCTGATGATTTGTTGGCCGCAAGTGCAGCCTTTCAGTCAGGCTTGACATTTCGAAGGCCTGGCAGAGAAAGACAAAGAGAGGATTAGGAAAGACCCTAAAGCCTAAACCCCGCACCCCGCAAATGACAAGCTGGTTGATTGTCTTCTCCTCTGCTGGGGTCGTAAACCTAAGCACCCCTCTTCCGTTCACTCTGCACGAAAACGGTGCGCGACAGCGCAGGGGGGGGGGGGGGGGGGGGGAGAGACCTCCCCCACTTTGGCTCTTTTGGTTGTTGCACCCCGTGAGTTGCCAGGGTAATATAGGGTCGGAACAAATAGCCACGCCCCATGTCATGATGGTATAAGACATAGTCCCCATGTCATTATAGCATAAGATACCCCGAAACACTAGTCTCAATATTTTTTGGTGCTTCGCCCTCTGAGCGCCAAGATGCGAAGCAACGCGTTAACAATGTCGAGTTTTAGTTATATACGTATCCCCAACCCCGCCACCTCAGCAGGAATTGGAAGTATTCATTTGAGGGGTTTCGCAAGGTGGGATGAAGGTATATAGGTAGGATGAGAAGGATCCCCGATATAAGGGCTCTCAGCTGCCTTCATCCCACCTTTGAAGCCTTTGATTTTTTTTGGAAATCTGTGAGAGGAAGATGAGAACAGGTTCCGATGTCAGGTATCATGATACGACAGTGACAACGCGCAACCTCAAATTGGGCAGTCTCAATGTTTGGCGTGTTTCATGCACATCCGTACACTGTCGAGTTTGGAGTTTAGCGTTTCTGATGTCAAGCAGATGCTACTGCAGACGGATGTCGCGGCGGCAACGGGTGGACTGTCAGCAGGCCGCCAAAAGTCGTGTGCAGCAAAGAAGTGACGATCCGGCCCACTAAGCGGGATTCATAATACTAACTCGTAAAACACTACCAACAACAACAACCTCAGCAACAGCAACGATAGCCATAACAATAAAAATAACAAAAAACAATAACATGAACGATAACAAAAGAAGGAGCAGGAACGATACCAAAAGCAATAACAAGAACAATAACTACAACTACAACAACTGCAGCAGCAATCACAAAATACAAGACAATGTCATAAGCGGCCCAGGTCCTCATCGACCAAGTCGAAGTCGCCAGTAAGGTCACAAGCACCATTGCAACAGCCAGCCAGGCCACCGTTAAAATGTGGGCGCTTGACGATTTCTCTGTAATCGTGGAGCGCTGGCAAGAGCTCGTTGGTGGAGAGTTTTCAATGTCAGGTGCTGTAAATAATGCTGCCGATGGGCAGGCCATTGGCTCCCATCTGGCCTTGAAGAAGGCCCCCAAGTCCGCAAAGTCTATAGCATCCTTCAGCCACACTCAGGTACAGTGTTTTGTTTATGCTTACAGTGTCGCCGATTGTTGCAGTCGCAGCAGTGCAGTGGTACCTTACACAAGGCTCTATGGCCGGCTTTGCTGCACGATATGCTGCGATGTATCATGATCTCTGCCAGATTTGGGCGTTCATCTGCCAGATTTGGGCATTCACCTGTTCCGAACAAAAAACACTGCATCGGTCAAGCAGCTAAGAGTTGTGAGTCATACAGTGCGGAGCATTCAAGAATCGCTACTTGGTCGCTGTTTCACTTTTACGCATGACAGAATGCCTCTGCTGAGAGCTGAGCCTCCAGCAGCGGATATTCCCATGTGACCGGAGTAGACCCGACGGCTTTCAGAGTCCCGATTCTCCCAATACAGCACGTTTTTCGTTCTCAAGACACTCACAGCTATTCAGCGGAAGCTTTTTATCACATTGTCTCATATGATGGTCGCTTTTTCGGGCATGAGGGCTCAAGCCATCTGGGCTCCTCGTCAGTGACTCGTCAGACATAGTAGACCTCGACCTGGGCCAGGAAAACATGCTTTGGGCGCACATGTTTCTGACAGTTCTACGGGTGCTTGTTTATTCGAACGTGGTGGCTTCGCCAATTGTTCGTAGTAATGCATTGAATCATTGCTTGGACGACGAAGACGACGACGACGACACTGCGACCACGACCCGGACTACGATCGTGATATACAGTTACAGTATTGCTCATTCTACTGCTATCGTCGCAGCTGCTGCTTGTGCCGTCGAGACATCCGCCTGTTCTGTAGTTGCGCAGGCTGCAGATATGCTTGAAATCTCATAGTACCTGGGCCGTAAATGATAGCATCCCTGTGGGTTGCCCTGCATTTCGTGTGTCCGTTATGACTTGAGTTGCTGAGTTAACAGGGTTTCTGGCAGGATAGGTACTCTTGGTTTAGCCGCATGTCGGCCTTCCAGACACAACATCTTGAAGTTTCGGGTGTAGGGTTCAGGGTTTGAGTTCCAATCCCTGAACCAAGGTTTGAGTCCTCCTTGTAGCATGTTCCCGATCGCAGGGGCTATCAGCGCGTCACCGGGGCACCGGACACCCGCACGGTCCGGCAGGGTGCTGCGCAGCCGCCCCGTCAGCGGCCCGAGCTTGGTGCGTCTAGCGTTCGGCTTAGGATTCATGGTTGAGGAATGCTATATTCTGACACTATATGAGACCTGTATGAGACAAATGAAAAAAGTCGAGCTGACCATGGGTTCGCGTCTTTTGATATGTTTATTTGCTTCGCCCACGTGGATTCTACTGGGCTGTCCAGCTGAGACCTTTTTTGTTGGGTCCGGAAGTCTGCTCCGGTCCAGGTCCAGGGAGACGGCCCAGCAGGGTTATTTGGGGTTTAGCGTTTCAGGTCTGGGGTTTTGGGGTTTAGGATTTAGGCTTTAGTACGTAGTGTTCCGGAAGTGGGAGGACTTGGGGTTGTGGCAGAATCTTCGACGCCGAAGGTGTGAGCTTTAAACTCAGCCTCTGCACGAGATACCAAGACTTCGAAGCAGAAATCCTAAACCCTAAACCCTAAACTGCAGCCTTCAGAAATGCATCTTTCGAAGAGAGCCCTGAGCCCCTTCCGGTAAGCCCTGTAAGCCCTAAACCCGAAGCCCGTGATGCCGGAGGACTATCGCTACTATCCGGTAAGCAGAAGTCCGAACACCCCCGCACTACTATTTTAGGGCTCCTTCTTGCAACTATCCTACGGTATATAGCAAAAGTCTATTCTAATTATTCAGGCCCCCTCGATTAAGACTGTAACGGGGATGGCATGAAGCTACCACTCTTGGTTACTGCGATAAACAACTTCTCGAGAACGATTCTGATTGCCGCCTGGTACGCTAGCTAGCTGTTGTACTTGGCATGATAACTAGGTACCTAGTCTGGTATCTTCCACAACGGTCGCACTCTTAGTATCAGAACCTCTAGATTGCCCACAAAGCCCTATCGAAATCACTAGTCCCGGGACCATCTTGTAAGTTACTTACAGACGCTTCTAAACCCTACAGTGACGGAGCTGAGTCGCGTCATGTTTTTTGGATACCACCCCACACTGGGTGGAAGCATGCGACGTGGGTGGCATCACCGAGCGTCTACTTGGGGATTCGTGATCACGTCGATTCGGGATTGCTGAGGCTGATGTGTCTCTGGAGTGGGTGCTTGCTAACTCGAGCGTCTACATGGGGTATGTCTGGTTTTGATTTGATGTTTGCTGCGATGCCACTAATGTGTTTCTTGTGCGGCTGCTTACGAAATCGAGCGTCTACCCGGGGAATGGCTGGTTTTGCTGTGCTGTTGGATGCGATGCCACTGATATGTTTCTTGTGTTGGTGCTTACTAAATCCAGCGTTTACCTGGCGAATGGGCTGGTGTTGATGTGCTGTTTGCTGCGATTCCACTGATGTGTTTCCTGTGCGGGTGCTTACAATATCGAGCATCTACATGGGGACGGGCTGGTTTTGATTTGCTGTTTGATGCGATGTCACTGATATATTTATTGAGCGGGTGCTTGCGAAATCGAGCGTCTGCCTGGGGAAGGGCGGGTTTTGATGTGCTGTGATGCTGGTATTTGCTGTTGTTCTTTTCTGCAATGTCATTGTCGTGATGACATCGATTGCTCATAGCGCCTCTGCTGCCACAGTGGTCTCGGTCACCCTGATCGGCCCCGAACGCTTGGATGCTCTGTGCTGCCACTGATGTTGGTCTTCAGCGTGTGCCTGTGTTAGCCCGCCGACGTGTGTCTTACATGGGTGCTTCTCAAATCGAGCATCTGCATGGGAAATCGGTGGCTTGGTTGTGCTGTGATGCCACTGATGTGTGCCTGGGGTGTGTGCTTGTGAAATCGAGCTTCTCCATGCGGAATAGCTGGTTCTGATGTGCTATGATTCCACCGACGTTTGTCTTGCATGGGTGCTTATCAAACCGGGCGTCTTCATGGGAATGGCTTGGTTGCCGTGTTTTTTTGCCGAGTGGACGCTACCTTGCTGACGCGGCGTATACATGGGGAAAGCCATGCTGGTGTGACCATAACGTGACCTCCTCGCATCGCGCGCGTCCCCTTAGACAACTGTGTCCCAGCAAAAAGGATGTGACTCAGCTCCATCATGTTACCTGTAGTCTCCATTGTAGTTCCTTTTTTTGGTTTCACCAATTACATATTAAGGATTTTATAAGGTATCCCAAAAAAGGAACTACAACGGAGACTATAGGTAAACTCTAAATGGGGGTTCCCGAAAATAGGGGACCCAAATATAGTACCCTAAATAGTAGGATCCTTATTATAAGGACCCCAAAATAAGGTACCCCTTATTTTCGGAAACTCCCAAATCCTATAAGCTTAGGGGTACTTAGAAATAATTTTTAATCTTTGGCTACTATAAACCCTAAGAAGCAGCTAAAATTCTAATTTTTGCTAGGTGTCTAAGTTCAGTATAGTAAGCCCCAAACCAGGCTTCGAGTCGAGATCTGCTCGGATGGAACGAGTTAAGTCGCGAGTTGAGCGCCTGCGCGGCACGGGTTCGGAGTTCGGAGGTGTGGTAGGGTTTGGGAGTTTCAGAAAATTAGTGGTACCTTATTTTGGGGTCCTTATAATAGGGATCCTATTATTTAGGGTACTATATTAGGGTCCCCTATTTTCGGAAACCCCCGTTTAGGGATGTTTACACGGCTTAGGGTTTAGGGTTTTAGGGTTAGGTCAAGGGTGCAGGGTTCAGAGGGTTTGAGGGTTCGGTGTCTTACGGGTTTATGCAGGCGGTTTGCAGACAGTCAGCGAGAGTGACGCACGGATGCTTTGATACGACGTTGCGGGGTTTAGTTCCTCCACAAATTCGACGGCTCCGGGGTGTGTAGGGTTTGGACTTACGGTGGGCGAGACGGTACCAGTGAATTCTGACTAAGGATTATTCATGCACGGGTCCTTCTATCAGTATTCTTCCACGGGATTTCTGGCAAGATCGGGAACTGTCTGCAAATGCAGCTGTAGCTTCCACATGTACAGGTGGAAGAAGTAGGCTTGAGATGCTACTGTAAGGTGATTAGAAAGACTCACCGGCTTCATTTTCTTCGCTTTGCATCCCGCTCTAAGTTTGACCCCCTACCTGTAGTCTCCATTGTAGTTCCTTTTTTTGGTTTAACCAGCAATATATTAAGGATTTTATAAGGTATCCCCAAAAAGGAACTACAATGGAGACTATAGGTAAGCCCTAAACCCTCGACGAGCGGTCTCGGTCAGCAGAACGTGCAGGATGATGTTGCGCGAAGTGTGTGAAGACAACCGCTGAGGACTCTGGCATCATGTACCTTAAACCACCAGAACCTACTTTGTTTGTGGAGTCCCTATAAATTCCACGTTAGGGCTTATAATCAGAACCTACAAAAAAGTAGGCTTTGGTAGGTTAAGAATGTAATTGGCGTTTTTGTTGGTTGTAATTGGGAAGCAATTGACACGGCTTGTTGCCCGTGTTTGGGCCAAAGTGCTTTCGACGTACCCGCAAACTTCGGCAGGCTTGTTCCAGTTGTGAGAAACACCCTAAACCCTAAACCGTTCCCGGTGAGACTTTCAGGAAATACTCCCAGCGCGCACTGGATCTCGTTATGGCTGCCGAGCCCGATTTCGAGGAGATGCTCCAAGTGCTTTTCGTGATCTGCAATGCATGCCTACATTTATGTTTACATTATATAACATTATCATGTTTGTGTATATATATATATATTAATAACAGTTCGTATGAATTACAATGCTAAACTTGCCCCAAACCATAAATCCTGAAATTCAAAGTCCTATAGGCGCTATAAGGCCGCAACCCGGAGCGACAAAGAACTGCCAGGCGGCC